ACAGAGTACTCACCACCGTCCAATGGACCGACCCACATCGTTAGAAAATGTAACTCACCAGTAAAACCACTTTTATAATGAATCTCTTATCGGTTGCTGCCTCCACTACAGATACAGGCGGAATCATTTTTCTCACAGATCGTAGTAGATACAACAAAAGTTCATTCTGCGATGTCATACCGACATTTTGGTCTCCCAGTAACTGCGAACTCACTGTATTCGTTGAGCGACAACGTTTCAGACATTCACAGAGCTTCGCTTTGTACCATAAAAACGTAAAGGGCCACAGTAAATGGCATATGACACGATAATTTGGTGCTCGGATCTAAAATGCTGGCAGGGTGCTATATAGTGGGGAAAATGGCGAAAAAAAAACGAAGTGAAACGGTCAAAAACCTGCAAAGAAAAGCCTTCGTCCTCCATGACCCAGTCTCGTACGAGTTTCCCTAGTCTTGCTAATAACCGCTACGGTAGGTACAGCTACACGTACGTACTCATGTATCCATGCAGCACCGCTGCCGCTTCATTCCCTTTCTTAGAAAAGGCGCTCCGCAGCATCTGCTCAGGGGCCTAGAATTCTGTCCTGCCAGCGTATTAGTCGTACTCGGCTTTAAGATTTATCGTGCCAACTGCCTTTGAGCACATCAGCACAAATGCATTCGGGGTCCCCGCGTGCTCATTTGAAACCAAATAGCTGGGCGATTTCATGGTAAACTCACAGCTCAACACAATAGCAGCACATCGGATTGCTGCGTTCGGCTATTCTGGTCCTGTACTCGGTCCATGCATTGAGAAGTAGATGGTGCATAACACGGCGCCTAAGAGGGCTTGTCTGCGCACTTGGTTACCTGAGCGGCCTACTGGAGACTCGCGGCGCTTGCGTCTCTCGCCTAATGACTTTTGCTGCTCCATTTAAAAAAAACTGATGAAGATTACCCGCGCGGCGGAGCGAAAAATTACGATTGTCTTGTCCGTCTACCGCGTTGCTGCCGGTTTGGGCGAAGAAGCAGACAGCGTGAGCATAATAGGCCGACACGGCTGACACCTCCCTGCCTGAATGACAGCTGTTCACTGCTACCGCGCTCTTGCTTCGCCAAGAACTCTCCGTCGACACGCCCTCTCCGACGACTGTGATATGAACAGTACAGGCTGGCGCAACTTAGAGCTGCTCATTAAAACCAATCTCTTCTGGTCACTTGTAGCAGGTTAATTCCGCAGTTCTAAGCGGACGCAGTAGACGTGAGCTCAGAGTGCGAAGAACTTCGCTTTCTGCCTCAAACTCCTCCAGCACACCGACATGGCTATAACACTTTCTGTCAGCCTTACAGAGAAGCAATTGAGTCTCGTTCATTTTCTATTCCGATTTCTCTTTAAGGAGTGCTTCCAGTACCTGAATTGTTAGCAATCTCGTGAACAAGCAGATTGGGACTGCTGCTGCAGCGATCGAGAACCTTTCTCCTTTTTTGCTCGATCTCTCTCAGTCTTGCTGATTTTGCTTGACTTTTCTTGGTCTTTCCGACAATGCTCGGTGCTCTTTGGTTTCTTGACGCTTGCGGGTCTCCCCGGGCTTTCCATGCCTTTTCAAACTTTTCTTATCGTCTTTATCTGGTCTGGCCGCTATCTGCGACCTTGTTTCCGTCGGCTTTCTGTTTCCATCATCTTTGCTTTGTTCTCTTGCCGTCTCATTTAAAGTCAAAACTCGAACGGCTTGGCGGAATCGTCCCCGTGTGCGCGCGCTCTGCTTATCCCTCCATCATTGCGGCGTATTACGATTGTCATGTGACTTGCGCCTTTTACCTAGATAAAACGTAAAGGCAGTTGGCCACGCATAAATCCGCCAAGACGAGTAGAATGCGCTGGCAATACGAGATGCCGCGACCCCGAAGGCGTCTGCATAATGCTTTTTAAGAAAGTGGCCCTTCAAGGCCCATTTCAAATTCCACATACGACCCAAACGCCCGCCCGCCCACAAATGGACGACCGTTCCTGACGCTCGTATTCATTCATTTGCCAAGCAAATTATGAAGCGAAGGGATTGGTATGAAGCGGCCGTGATGCTGCATGCATACATGGGTACTCTATAGTGCAGTCCGATCTGATCGGTAGGGGTGATTGTAAGGATGCTTACGGGACGTCGTTCAAAATTGATTTTCAATTCATTAAGAACGAAGGCTCTTTCTTCGCAAGGATTTTGACCGTTTCACTCCGTTCTTTCGCCATTTCCCCACTTTTTAGCGCCGTACTAGCATTTCAGGCCGAGCACCAAATCATCGTGCCAACTGTCTTTGAGGAGCGGAAGAGAAACTGTATAGCGTTACTTCCGAGTAACGGCATTGTTTTCTTATCAGGTGACATGAGAAACACAGAGGCAGCCTACAAAGGCACTGCACCGTTGACGGGCATAATGCTGGCGGCACGATAAACCATCTACAACGCCTCCGTGAATGCTTCCCTCGAAGTAACATTGGTGCAGTTAAAAACATAGAGCACCACCTGTGCCTCCTGATGTATTAGCCAAAGGCAAATATTAGCTCGGAATTTGTGGAGTCCGTACACACCACCTTTTTAGGGGTTGATCGCCGACAGTCCCCCCCTCCTTTACAACGTTCCTGAAACAAGAAAAATCAACTATCAAAAAAGTTTTCTCCCAGCCCAAATACGAGTCCCCTCTCCCAGCGACCAAATACGACCTCCCTGCTGGGAACCAATATAGTGTAGTTCCTCTGGGGACGTGTCAGTGCGCGCGCATTGGCGCGGGCGAACCCGTTGTCCACGATTTTTAAGCGAAACAAAAATGATCATGACTGTATCAATATCGATGTATCACTGTTCTAACACTTTTTGTCTGCAATGCGCCACTTCACAAAAAGGCGGAGGACGGATCTTGCACTGTGCACACTCCCCCGCATTCTGGCTGACCCCCGCCTCCAATCGGAAAAACACACCGAGAGACGAATAATTAACATGTGCCCTGATATGAGCAACGCAAAAGATAGATGCAGCATTACTAATTAGATATACGTCCATACCGCGCGACAAATCGTTGTTTGTGTGCATCCTCAGCAACAACACATCTTCAAAGCCTTCACTTCTTTAGTACTAATTTAGTTCTCTTACACTTTATATTTCCTGCACCCTGAATGTAGAGGTGGGTGCAATAGCAGTCTACAAATCAGGGTTTCCTGTTTTTTGTCTACTAGAAGAAAACATCATTACGAAAAAGTAATGCCTTCCTCATCTAAATCAGACTCGTTCGAGTTTAATGTGCCTGATAGCCTGTTTGAGATTTTGAAGGTGGCTGGTAATGGTTGACTCTTTTTTTCAGTCTTGGAGGGCTTGGATAAGGCGACTGGCGAAGTTACAGCATTTGCCAGTTCGACATCCACGCGGCAAACTTTACGTTATGGTGTCTTTCCTTGCATAATCACTTTGTACACATGAATAATTAACATTCATGAAAATTCGAACAATGCAGTTGCATGATAAAGCAGAGGCATGTCGGAAAGATTGCAGAAAGATGTGCTTAGTAATTCGAGGAAAAATCAAAACTGCAATTTTGGATATGCCTGAGTCGGAAGAAATTCTTCAACTTCTTCAAGGCTCTTGTAAGGTTTCTGCTATTTTGATCTTCAGTATTGGCGCTTATTATTTCATCTCGGTTCCAGATATAAACTACTTCCATTGCCAGCGTATTATTGAAATTCTGCGAGAGACTGAAAAGGATTCCAAGAACTTTTTGGGGTACTACTCATCGCAGCGAATGAAGGATTGGCAGGTACATTCGATTACTTTCACACTATTTACTTGTTTCTTGGAGTCTATTACTATGACTTATTGATGGAGTAGTCCAGGGTAGGGGCATGTTGCTGCGTGCTCTGTGCTTTATTATTTCCTTTCTATTTAGTTCATTGTTGCTTGTTTCAGGAAATAGAGTCGTTGTATAAGAGGAACAATGTTTATCTCGCTGAAGCAGCTCAGGTGCTCTCTGTTTTTTTTTCTTTCGCTTTAAGAAATGCCTCAGTGTGTATATCTTGATGAGCGTTTTCCTCAAAGCAGTTTCCGCCATTACCTGAAACATAATGTCGTTTCAGTAAGGGTGCGCAGCTCCGCTGTCACATAGAGTATACCACTCAACTTTGAGAGCGTGGCAAGGTCGCCAGAGGCTTGTGACATGCGCAGTTCCCGCCCACTGATGTGAACGGCCGCCCATCACTTGATTGTTGTACTTGTTTGTGGCAAGGAAACCGCTTACCTATGCGTGTTGTCCGGAAGACCGGGTCGGCTAGTCCTCACGCACCCCCCTCTGAATTATCTGCTAGACTTTCAATGTCCTACGGCGCCAGTGAATAGGTACCAGATTCTCTGGAAGGATCAATAGCTTACTCATTCATGAGCTGACCGAGTCGTATAAGCCATATGGCATTCAGTGACCTACTACGATTCTAAATGGAAGTGGAATGCTCGCTGCATCCCTAAAAAGGGTTGATTAACGGCAAAAGCTTGAACTTTTTATGCCCCTTGCCAGCTCGTTCAGGGCCTCTTTACATTTACTTCATCACACGCTTGTCCAACTTCAGTCAGCGTCCATAAGTTCTGATTGAGACTCCGTCACCTATTGCCTGGAATGTGTCTTTAAATGAAGTATGATGAACTGAGTGTGGTGAAAAATGAATGAGCGCTATGGCTGAGGGTGGGCGATCACAGAAAACCTTTTTGGTGGGAGAGCCAAAAGGGGTGTACCCAAACGTTCCTTCGCAGCCCTTCCACCAGTGACGTTGGCAGCAACCGCTCGCCCGCAGCCATCGTGCCCACAGCCTCGAAACGATTTTTCAAAAGCAATGCCCCACTTTTGGAGAGAGTGATATAGCCTTCTTTAGATTTTGCAACGCTTGGTGCAGTACGAAATCCCCGCTCAAAAGAAGCAGATAACGAAAGCAGAACAAGTTCTTGCGGTGTGTGAGTTAACATCAATTTTGCATTTGTTGTGCCAGAACTCGTGAATACTCTGTAGGATAGCATCAAAAAAGAAAAAGATTATGGTAAACAAGCGGAAGATGGTCGTAAACTGTATGAGAAAGAATTACAACGCATAGGAATTCAGGTAATACTTTTCACGGTCACGAATTAACAGTAGTCTGCATCCGTGTAATCGATGTGTTGTGTTGGTACCCAAGGAAAGTCATCGCTTTTCAAAAATCTCAGTCTTAGGTGTCCAGTGTAGACTGTGGCTATTGGCATAATCCTTTCAGATAAGGCATTGTTTTGACATTCGGGTAGCGCTTGTTAGAGTCTAAAGAAGCCAAAAAGGTGGACTGCTGCGCTGGAGGTTGCAGTGTGTTACCCGTTGAGAAGGTCTACCGGGGTAGATTTGACTGAGCGCTAGTGATTATACCCCGGATGAGTGGTGGCGCGTGGGTTCGGGGCTCCCCGCCCGGGTTGGCTATTATAATGATAGCCAGACTGCTCGCCGAGCGAGCGGAGCTTCGATAGGATTTCAATTTCAGCGGGTGTAGTGGGGGCGCGTGGGGGTCACGGATGTCTTCTGGGAAAACATGGGGTCGGCAGTCTTCGCCAGAGGTGGCGACGTGGAAAAAAGGTAGTAGGGTAGATTGAGTAGTGTGTCTGGCGGGGATGAAGGCGAAAATATAATATGACGTAGGCGTGGGAAATATTGTTTCGATGGAGTAGAGCGTTGCGTTTTCTGAAGAGACCACTCCTTTGTCGCATTCGAGCGGGCGCGGTGTTCAGTGCCGGCGATGAAAGGATCGATGGAAGCGGTGGGTAGTTGGATGAGGGGGTGGGAAGTATCGACGGTTAGGGGTCGGTTCTGAGGTATGTCTCATTGAGCGCGCGGACGGTGCGAGCGCCGGAAGTGTGGTGCGAAGAAGCTTAGACCAGAGGAGTGGTGGTTAGACTAATGGCGTGAGAAGGAATGGTGCTTTCGGCCTGAGTACACAGTAGAAAGATAGATGAGGTGTGGATCTAGTGGCAAAGGCGGACTTGGGTGAGGGCACTCACGGCGAGGGCCCTGGCGAGGTGGCAGTGGGGAGACACGATACGACTGAGAGAGGCTGGACGAAATGCGCAGGCGGTATGGGTAGCTGGTAGCAGGAGAGAAGGCGGCGACCGATGGGCGGGAGTGCGTGAAGGTGAACGTGGTATTAGGTGGCCGTAAGATATTAGAAGGGGTGGTCGTGGGGGCGCGAGATTATGAATTATGAAAGGATGCTCTGGGCGGAGATGGACGTTGATCAATCGGCCGTTGGGCATCATCGAGCCCGGTGGTGTCTGGAGGTGGGTGGGCGGGGGGGGGTAGGGGTGGCCGTGGGCTTCCTCGACGTTCTGTCGGCTCGCCTTTTCCTAGTGCACAGATACTGAATACCAGTTAAGTGGACTCAAAGCTCGAGCGATACTGGGTTGGTTAAGAGTCGTGGCAGGATGTGTTTAGGACATCTTGTTACGCAAAGATCGGGGGGGGGGTAGGTGGGGGGCTGCAGGATGCGTGTGATGAGCTGGGAGTAGGGTCAGAGAACGATGTGGTGGGGGGGAGGATGGGTGGTGGCGGGTGTGCGATGGGGGTAGGGGATTGGGGAGAGACGGTCTGGTGGAGTATAGAGGCGCGGATAGGTGTAGTGGGAGACGGTGTTCGGGTCGCGGGATGGTGTTTGTGAGGGCTGCGGGTGTGAGGTGAGGAGGCGGGCCGCGGAGAAAGCGAGACCCCGGATTTCTGCGGCGCCACAACTGTTTCCCCTAAGCAGTTATCGTCGCTTAATCTTTCCCAGCGACTGATGGGAGAATGGGTTTTTCGCTGCAAATGCTATCCTTTCTCAGGTATAAACATCTCACCCCAGGCAAATGCAGACTGTTACACTTGGCACGGCAATATGTTGTGGTAGGCTCACATTCGGGTGAAAATAACAGGCCTTGAGCCTCGTACTCTCAAATATCACATCGCTTGTAGGCCAACGCATGAACGGTATGGTCGGGGCAGTTTATAACGTTTTCGTATTCCGCTTCAGCTATTTCCCATTTCCCGAGTTGAACAAATCTCATCTCTGTGCTCTTTAGGGAGTGATGGTCCACGTGAGAGATAATGAGAAGCTAAAACATTGACTCAATTGGCACTTGAATTTCGAAGGGCTCTTTTGAGTTCATATGTCCACCTTCTATTGTTTAGGGGCATGCGCTTCGTGCAGAACTTTTGGCTCTTGCATCTGAGCTTCCCTCATTTTTCACAAGGATAACAGCCGATATTATTCAACTGAAGGAGCCCTATGAGTATTACATTCACTTTCGTAATTATATCCATCAGTAAGTGTAGACGTTTTTATTTTCCTCATTTTTACACTTTGACTTCAGAAACATTCTGTTTCGCAGGAATAAGAATCTCTCTGGAAGACCGTTGCCCTTGCTCTCCCTATTAATCGAAAAAGGTCCTTCTCTGACGGCGTTTGAGTTCAAGTATGGTATAACTCCAACAAAAATCGAATTGCCATCTTATGATCTGTTATTGAAGGAGGATGAGGTTGCGTTTTTTCACTTCGTTCTTTCTAATCTTTTTTGTGATCATACCTTCTCCCTGTCAGTTTTTAATGCTTTTTGTCATGTTCAGAAGAAATCTGATGACGAAATTGATTTTGGTGATGATGATATTGATTTTGGCAATGACGATGAGATAAACATTTCTGTAGAAGATGCACACATTGACGTTGTGGCTGACACCAAAGGTAAGGGACTCAAGGCACATCCTGCGATAAAAAGCGGTGGCTAGTGGAGCTCATATACTAATCAAAGGGTGGCAAATAACTCTATAATCAAAAACAAGAAGTAAACCCTTCGTATGCTCTGGATATGAGCCCATCCCGAACTGGGCTTGGACGAGGAGAAGGGCGTGCTCGAACGAATTCTCACTCGTTAGTGTCAGCTCTTTTCCCAGACCATCTCAGTCTCATCACTCGGAATGGAAAGAGCTGGTAGCGGAACAACTGCACAATCTGGAGGCCTTTCGAAATGAACTTTGGGTTAGGTATGGGGAAGGGGTGGGCACACTTTGCGTCAGCGTTTTGAGAGTTTCGAGCATACACTAGCGTTTTAAACGAATAGAAAAGTATAGCTATCGATCTAGCTTTGAGCTTAAACAGACTGGGCGCTTTCGCGGGCAGCTTAGCGACCTCAAAACGCTGACGCAAGTATGAACGCAGCTTAAAGGGTAGAAGATTGTTCATTTTCATTTACTTCATTGACAGTATTACCTTTTATGTCTTCATAACAGGTGCCGTTGGAGAATCAGTCGCAGTTGGCGAGGATGCGCTGGGGGTTGTGGAGAATATGGAAACACAAAAGGTTATGAAAAATGAACTAAACGAGGTGAGTTTTTGATAACAAATTTGAACACTCATGACCACTAATTGTTAGTTTTTGTAGTTGTTAGCATTTCTCACGATGCGAAATGAAGACGAAAAGCGAGATACTTCATCAGATGTTTTCATAAGAGGATTTGAAAAGAGGCCTGCTGAAATTAGCAAGGTGGGTCGTTTTCTCTTTCTTAGGCAGCGTTCATACTTCGCGACAGCAGCGGCGATCGCCGCGATCGTCGGTGCATGGCAGCGCGCGCCCCAACGCTATTATGGACCGCTCGCCTGATGAATAAGGGAATTCCAACTTGTAAGACCTTCTTTACTCTTAATAATGGCTACTAACTGATAAGTTACGACTTTCTATGCATAAGCAGATCTGGAACATGAGGTAAGAAGGTTTCACTTTTTTTAGGTCGGGATAAGGCCAACTCTTTTCCCGTGGGTGAGCTTCTTTTTGCTTTTTTGTTGTTTTTATTGTTTCAATTTATACAAGTGCTTCGAAAGGTAGCTATCGTCTAAACTGTTTCAACTTCCAAAACATAGTTTAACAAGTCGAGAAAATACACCAAGAAAAAAAGAAACAGCACGACGAAATCACTGGCGAACCGAAAACACTAATCATTTTACGCACATCAACGTGAAAACCTGTTGGTAGCCTCATGTATACAGCTCGCTTGGAAAAAAGAAACAATAAAACCTATCTTAAATGAAGCTATTACGCTTTTTGCTCATTTCTATCCTGAATCAAGAAAGAAAATAGAAAACAAAAGCAATTAAGCTGGGTTCACCTTTCCCTGAGTCAAACTCAAGCTTCAGTACCTAAGGAAATTGTAGTTAAAGGAAAAAAAAGCATGAAATTGGTCGCTTACCCCCAAAAGCCTTCGGAGCGCACGTAATATCGTTGGGGCGCGCTCTGCCATGTACCGACTATCGCGGCCATCACGGCGATCGCCGAGGTCGCCGCGATCGCCGCTGCTGTCGCGAAGTATGAACGCTGCCTTATATCGATTAGACTCTTTAGAAGCGTTTCGTCGTTGTTTGAACGGAAAGGTTTCCCAGCTTGGAAAGCGTTCATACTTGGCGAATGCGGAAATTCCGCGATGACTTTTTTTCTATGATTTTCCCGAAGTGTCGAAAAAATCATAGCGGCCAACTATTGAACTATTCCTAGCCCAAAAACTCACGGAAAATTTTTTCGCTGAAACGTTGCCTATAGATGTAGTTCGATGCGCTGGTCACGAATATCACATCGTCGTTCGAGGTCTAATGGCGTTATTATGGCGGCCATTATGCGCAGATTTGGCGCCACCCCTTTTTCACCAAAGTTTGATGAAACTTGCATATGGGGGCCATGTGAATCGATTATCCCTGATCCACGAATATTCCACACTGTTTTAAGCGTGGCGCCATTATGCGCCAATATGGCGCCGAATTGGTGCGTAATGGCGCCAGATGGCGCCAAGCCAAAGATGAATGTCAGATTCGTACTCAAGTACCTCCCCCCCACATGCAGTTTTTCACTCGACTTTGGTGGTGAAAAAGTGTTTAGTGGGCACCAATATTGCGCGCTTTAATGGACGCCAGATGACGCCTAAAGCGCTTGAAGACGAATGGAAAACCCGGTGATCAGAAACGATCGAATTTACAACTATAGGCAACGTTTCACTGAAAAAATTTTCAGTTTTTGGGGTAGGAATAGTTCAATAGTGCCAAAAAATCTAGTGAGGATCGATCCCTTATGTGCTCTGTAACTGGAGCAGAAGCATCTGAAGGGCTTGATTGTTTAAGATTGAAGAGTGTCCTTCCAGATATCGCCTCCGCAGATTGGAGAATGGATTTCGCAGATAAAGTCTATAATTGATCAGTTGTCGGATTCACAGAAGATTCATTTATTCCGTATTAGGACTTCGCCACAGTGAGTTTTGCCTATTCAACCTTTTCTGACTTCTGAATATCTCATATCTGTGCGAAAGCTGGATCTTGCACAAATCTCATCTCAGAATTATAAGAGTTCAGCAGCATAGGGGAGTGGAAACGTAATGGATTCGAGGCCTCCCTTTCCCCATTATTTCCATTTTTTTCTCTCTTTCTTTCTATTGTCTTTCAGTCAGTAGTGGGATACCTCACTCAGTCAACAGTCGAATATGCCGGATGATACCTTTTCCCTTTACTGAAATAGCCTCTTTTTCTGGGCAGCATAACTTAACTGAGATTCTCCGTTGTTGTGTGGATACCGAATATTCATATAATATTTATTACACAACAGGAATACCGCGGTATCGGAGAAATGGCCCTTGTGGCCGCAGACTTCGGTCGACTGGAAGCGTGGCATCAGGCCCGAGGCCTGGCAGGGTGACGGGTACGGTCCAGAATGACTCCTGTGAAGGCTCCTCCTCCAGATCTGCTCGTCGGGCATTCCTGAACGGTTCACGTCATCATCGATCCTTGGCATGATTCATCCGAATCGCGCTGATCCCTGTCGGAGCCGCTAAGGCTCTTACACCTCCCCATTCCACCAAAACGTCCGTCCTCGGACGTTGAATAAGATGGCCGGGGATCAGCGAGAACGGGTGAACGTAGAGAAAGCAATGCATGGAAGAAAGAAAGTGAAAACAAAAGAAAGTGTCATATAGGTATATAAAGTAAACACTTACTATTGATATCCTGTTCTACGCGAAAATGTCGGGAAGGTCGGCTGCGTCAATGATAACATCGTGGCTTTGGGCCCACTGAATTACGCGGTTCCAGTGTGAAAGTTGCTGTAGTGCGCGAAGGGAGCCCAAGACGAATTGCCCGTATTTGCACCGGGTTAAAGCCACGTTCAGCCGGTGAATGTCGTTGAGAAAATCTCCAGACGTCGCGTCAACGTTCGATCGCGTGGTGAGGAGGATGACGACGTCCATCTCTCGTCCTTGCACGGAATCCACTGTGTGCAGCGCGATTGCCTGGCGATTGCAATAGTCCAGAAGCCGGGTCATTTGCTCTTTGTAAAATGTGATGACCCCGATGGCTGCGCTGGCACATTACGAGACAGGAGTCCCCTGATGATGTCACAGCAGCACTGCCCTTCCTCCTCGTTGTAATGAGACTGGGAGTAAGATTGCCGCGAGGTCCCGTGGACGTTGACGAAAACGAAGGGGACTCGCGGGTTAGGAAGGGATAGGTGGCGTATCAGACGAGTGCGCATGTGCGCAGGTGTTCCATAGACAAGCGTTCCTCTATACACGAGAAGATTCGGTAATTGATTGAGAGCTGGGTGGGCTCGGAATGTCGTCACCAGAGGTGCAAGTGGAACGTCTTTACTAAGTAGGATGTCCATGACGCCACGGCTTCCTAACTGAGCGGCTAGTGCATTCCGTGGGCATCTTAGGTGCGGCTGGAGCTGGTGGACGTCTCCAATATAGATGTGGCGTGCCTGCGGAAAACGAGTGACCATGGCGACGAAG